CGGGCGGCGCGGGCGGCGCGGGCCGCGGCGCGGGCTGCCTGCACGTGAGCCCCGGCTCCGCCGCCGGCCGCCGCCTCTACCTGGGCCAGGCCGTGCTGCTGCCCTTCCTGCCCATCGCCGCGCTGATCGCGCAGAACTGCGCCACCATGGCCAACGTGACGCGCAACAACCAGGTGGCGCACGCCATCAACCACCAGGTGAGTGCGCCCGCCGCTGCACAGCGTCAGCACAGGGAGCGCAGGATCTTCCCAAAAGGAGCTCTTAGCACCATTTTAAGCATATTGTGCCTAAAACGCTCCTTGGATATTCCGCAATAAACACTCAAAAGTTGGTTTCAAGAAATACTTTAAGCAAGCATTTGCATTGTGGAAGCATATTAACAGTGTGGAAACTTGTAAATGGTTTCTTATTTACAAAAGTCATCAATATATTTGTTCCAAAGAAAAAAATTAACACAGAGATAAAAACACACCCGGTTTACGCACGTCCACACTAGCGAGAAACGCTGTAATCGAAGCGAAACGAACGTTGGCAATTGTACAGTTTGGACGATAGAGTGCTCTTGAGTGAGCGCAAACAAATGCCATCCGCCGACTGGCAGCGAACCGGCTGCTTTTCAGGTATTTCCATCCACATTAGAATGTTACTTTGAAGCCACCTTTCTAGTTTTGTCTCAATGTGTATTTGTTAGCAGTTTTAGCAGTTTTGCTTTTCAAAATTGCTCACTGTGGAAAGAAAGATAGCGTAGAATTTGATATGGTAGACGCTGTAACACGTGCAGAGCAAACAGCGCTTTGTGGTGACACCGTCCAAACCGATGATCGCATCTGATCATTGTAGATCGATTAGCATTGGTGACAATGTTGCTCGCCATGGTGGATGCTCTTTTAGCAGTGAAACTCACCCGTGGCATAATTATTGTTTTGTAGGATAATTTTGTTGTTTGTAAGATATACGATAATACCTTTTGTGTAGTTCTCTTTTGTAGAGTAATTTCAACTAAGCAAATGACATTTTATTACTCTGTAATAACGGTACAGGACAATTCAGAATAGGCGCTAGGAACTGTAAGCAGGCACCATCACTATTAACCCCTTTCGATCTCTGATATATCTATTCACAAGCCTTTTTTCGCCACTCCTTCACATTTTGAGATGTCTTCAGAAAGATTAACTTCATTCGGTAGCGGTACGTAAAACCCTCCTTTTTTCTATCATTAAAATGTATTTAAGGTTACAAGGTGCTATTTCGTTTGCTCATTTGCGATGCAGTTATGTGATGTTCTGCAGCAATTATAGAAGCCAATGTAGCGTTCTCTTTGTTCTCGAGGTAGTAAGCCAGTTTCTTTACTTACGAGTCAGGATAAGATATAAAAGCCGGATGGCCCACGACTAGATTAAGCTCCGAGCTCTTTCAAATAATAATCCGGTCCTGACCACATGTATCGCTCGCGATTAAAACCGGGTGCCCGAAGGGCCAGCAAAGACCACTACCCCACAGGACTCACAGGTTTAGAACTCATAATTAAATATTATAGAACGGAAGGTCCTGGAAATGGAACGGATACTGTTTGAAATAATCAAACGACAAAATCAGAGATAATTGTGTTCTCAAATCGATAATTTTCATTTCACGATATCATAATTTCTGCAAAAAGTATTGGTAACTCTGACGTTTTTAAAAGCGTATTGACATGTCGGAAATCTCTTGATGCTCTCTGCGGTGAGTCCGATTACCGTCGACGCATTGATGGTTCGCTTTAAAACAAACCTACAGAGTTTAATGTGACAGTGTACGTCGGTGGAGTTCTCCCCCCTTCCGCTTTCTCTCTCTCTCTCTCTCTCTCTCTCTGCTTTTCCCTCTCTCTCTCTGCTTTTCCCCCTCTCTCTCTCTGCTTTTCCCTCTCTCTCTCTGCTTTTCCCCCTCTCTCTCTCTGCTTTTCCCCCTCTCTCTCTCTGCTTTTCCCCCTCTCTCTCTCTGCTTTTCTCTCTCTCTCTCTCTGCTTTTCTCTCTCTCTCTCTGCTTTTCTCTCTCTCTCTGCTTCTCTCTCTCTCTCTGCTTCTCTCTCTCTCTCTCTGCTTTTTTCTCTCTCTGCTTTTCTCTCTCTCTCTGCTTTTCTCTCTCTCTCTCTGCTTTTCTCTCTCTCTCTGCTTTTCTCTTTCTCTCTCTCTGCTTTTCTCTTTCTCTCTCTCTGCTTTTCTCTCTCTCTCTCTCTGCTTTTCTCTATCTCTCTCTCTCTGCTTTTCTCTATCTCTCTCTCTCTCTGCTTTTCTCTATCTCTCTCTCTCTCTCTGCTTTTCTCTATCTCTCTCTCTCTCTCTGCTTTTCTCTCTCTCTCTCTGCTTTTCTCTATCTCTCTCTCTCTCTCTTCTTTTCTCTATCTCTCTCTCTCTCTGCTTTTCTCTATCTCTCTCTGCTTTTCTCTATCTCTCTCTCTCTGCTTTTCTCTATCTCTCTCTCTGCTTTTCTCTATCT